TGTACCTGGGTGGTGGATCACTGCTCCCCTCTTCATTGTCTTCACTCTCCTGGATAGCCTTGTGTAGGTCTAATAAAGCCTTTGTTTTGGCTTTGTCATCCGGAGAAAGGTGTGCCTTGTCCAACACGTCTGTGCGATTCGTCAATTTCTGAACACCAAAAAAACATATTTAGTCACAGTGGCATGACTACTGTGATAAACATTTAATTAACATTTACTTTGTTCTTCAGCAACAGTTTAGTCTGGCAAAATAGTCACCCTGACTATTTTGAATCTTTAGATTTGGTTCTTGCTCTCTACTCTGAGCAATTTACACTACAATGAAACCTTGCATATAAATGGGAAGGACACTGTTAACATTAAAAATGTCAAAGGGGGTTAGGGTGTGGCACTCGTGCATTCTATAACAATCATAAATTATGTATGCATAAGACAAACATGCAAAACATGTGTTGTTTCCTTAAAAAATGAAAGACCCTTGTGCCCTTAACCCGAAAGATCCAGGATAAATGTGTTTGAACAAACTAAGACTTCCTTGTCACCCAAGAGCAACAGTAATGCAACAGCGGCCACCAGGCACTGCCAAAGCACATCTCTGTTACAGGACCTGTAGGCTAAATAAATCACTAAGTGGATGACTTAAACTACACATTAGAAATATTTTCACTTCAAGCATTAACAAAATAATGTACATGTATTTTACCTACCTTTTTAGCTCTCAAATTGGCATCTTGTCCAAACTCTGCGTTCTTCAGGTTTTCCATTTTGCCACCTTACCACGTCTGGGGGCTACTTCTCTGACTCCAGTACTTAAAAATGGCCCCTAGCAAAAGGAAAGCATGTTAAATGTGCAGGTCTCTAGGAAAGGAATTAAGAGTGCTTCTTGGTGTTGCTAAAAGAATTGTTGGTTTCCTCCTGCTTTTGGTGTGGGTATTATTTAGTGGCTTTTGAATCTTTTGTATTTATGTCATTAGGAGATTGCACTTGTCGGCAACACCAAGAAACTACAGTGGAACCCTGTTAATACGGTCATCAATGGGCCAAAAAATTTTTGCCATATTAATGGGATGGCGTTATTAATGAGGGTTTTTTTTTTACAAGAAAATGTATGGTGGTTTTTGCCAGGCTGCCAAAAAAAGTGGCTCTAATAACGAGGTGACTGTATTACCGAGGTGGCCGTAATGCGGGGTTTCACTGTATCAAATTCAAGAAACTTAGAAAAGTGTACAACTTACCTTTTTTTTCTGTTTTGGGCCATTTCTTTTAACCCAAAATTCCCCCTCACTTCGTTAACCAAAATACCCTCAATCTTTTAGTTCTCCGCATCATTATACCTCAAAGAAATAAAGACCAAAAGAAAATGTCAAATATTTATATCAAAATACTAATACATGTATATGTATATTATTGTAACAGCCTGGTTCTAAAAAAACTAGAGAGCTTAAAATGAGGCAGTTTTCTGGTAGTGCATTACAAAGACAAATATTTAAAAAATGAAGGTTGCTTTTATCATCGAATAAAGCCCTTATCCAAGTGCTTGACGCACAGTACAGAATTAAAGTGTAACAATATAAAAACACTATATAACCGTCTAGTTGATCTCCTTGTGGCATTTTCAAAAATTGAAAGTATCATTGACACAAGCACCATTTTATCCACTCAAAGAAGGATAAATAGAATTGCAACTCCCCACTCAAAGATGGGCGTCTTACTTATGTCAATGAAGGTTGCTTTGTCATCAAATAAAGCCGTTACATATCTCCTTGTGTTCGAAGCTTAACGACAAATTGAAGTGTAAGGAAATTATATTCCTGAATAATATTCCTGTTCAGGGGTTTCAATAGTAGCGGGGTAGCGGGTAGATCTACCCGCTTGCAAGGGGCTGATTACCCGCTTGGAGCCTTCACATGAACGTCAACTAAGACCAGATAATTTCATCTCAGCTTCGAATTCTTGCCCAAAAATTTGGCAAAATAGGTTTTGACTATGACTACTTCATTGTAACATAATTCTCTTCAAATTTGTTTAAATTAGTTGACTTAGGAGCAAAAAAATGTAAAAACAAAGCAACAAAAAAAGACCTGAAATGCATCTGCGAGAGTCTAGAACTTCAAAATTTTCCGGGGGAGCATGCCCCCGGACCCCCCTAGGGTCGAAGGCCCTTGGGGCCTTCGGCAAATATACCCGCCTGTTACTCTTGAGTACCCACTTATGCAAAAACTTATTGAAACCCCTGCCTGTTTATCTCCTGGTGACTGTTGCAACATTTGAAATATCATTGACACAAGCACTATACTTTGTCCACTCAAAGATGGATAAATAGAATTGCAACTTCCCACTCAAAGATGGGCGTCTTACTTGTGTCAATGAAGGTTGCTTTGTCATCAAATAAAGCCGTTACATACCTCCTTGTGTTCGAAGCTTAACGACAAATTGAAGTGTAAGGAAATTGTATTCCTGAATAATATTCCTGTTTATCTCCTGGTGACTGTTGCAACAT